TTCAACTGAATTTGTATGGAAGATGACGAAATACAACACATGATGAGATTTGAAAGATGTGAAGAAAACTTTGCTTCATGATGAGTCTTCAATAAAGCTCCAGTTTAGGCGGTTGAAGGCTTTTTGAAGATTAATTTTTACGATCATTCAACCTGTCTGACCCTTTCTCTTCCTCATTGAGTGAAACGCTTTTTGATAGATAATGACATTTTCAGTAATGCTCCTTCTAGCAAGAAATCTTGTTTGATTAGGGGCGATTAATATTGGCAAAAACAGTTGGATTCGTAGGACGACTATTTTAGGGATTAATTTATACGGCACCGAGCAGAGATCAATTGGGAGAAAGTCTGAATAAGTACCCTTTGGAATTAGAACAAGAATGGTCCTGTTGAGGATTGGAGGAATTTCAACTCCAAAAATACGCTGAACGAGGTTACTAATCGAAGTGTCAATTGTGCTCCAATGTTCCTGGAAGAAATGAGCGAGAAAGCCGTTAAGAGGAGCAATGGAGAATAAGGCATCTTTAATTTCCTCATGTTGTGGAACGAGATCCAGAGAAGTCATTTCCTCTTTCGGGGTACATGGAAAGAAGCCAGTAAGAGGATAAGTGTCAATGGGAGATGGATTAGAAGTGAACAAATTTGAAAGGTGTAGCTTCAGCATTCAAAACAATTTCACCATCACACCAATCACCGTTGGAACTTTTCAAAGAAGAAATCTTGTATTGGTGTTTATATCGAAGAGATCGACCTTGAAAATTTTTGGTGTTCCTATCGCCTGATCGGATCCAATCTGAGCGCCATTTTTGCATCCAAATGAGTTCTTCATGATCAAGGAATTGTTCAAGTTCATAAAGGAGTTGCTGTTCAAGGTTGATCAAGAAGGAAGAACGTTTAAAATCGAGAGCTTTTTGAGTACCGTGTAACAGAGACAGAATCAGCTTCTTCTTTTTGCCGATAGATCCAAACACGGAAGAATTTCATTCAGAGGCTGCCAAACTAAAATTATGAAGTGTATCAGAGATAGAACTAGAGTAAACCCAGTTATCACGAACAAAGCGGTTGAAATCACCATGGCTGGACTGATTAACTTGATGGTCGAGGCTAACAAGCAAAGGTCTATGATCCGGTTTCATGCGTAAAATGTGATGAACAATAGTATCTGGAAAGGCTTCGAACCAAAGATGGTTGCATAAGCTTCTATCAAGATGGACAGTCTTGAAGACTATAGTCATAAACAGAAGCGGCAAAGTCCTTGTTGGGGGTTTACCAAAGCGAGCACAACCCATATGATCTTCCGGAGATAGAGTGGCATTAAAATCATCCGAGATAATCCAAGGTTCAGAGATTGAAGAAGCAAGTTGATGAAGTTAAGTCCAGAGCGGCTTACTCTTGGAGTGATGTGGACTGGCATATACAAAGGTTGAAAGGAAGTAAATACTAGAGTGCTTGTGGTGAATCTGACAGTGAACAAATTGGAAGTGAAGAAAAATGATTTCAATATCCAAGTGGTCATTCCAGTAAAGCCAAATCTCTCCAGAAAAAATAATAGTTTCAATCCTAAAGGAGTTTAAAAATCCGGTAGAGACAATGGCTCTGTTAGCATTAGAGTTGTAAATCTTTGTTTCAACTAGGCACGCAATATCATGATTAGAATCCCGCATGTATTGACGCATCACTTTGATAAAGTTACGATTACTGTAACCCTTAGCATTCCAAATAAAGATTTTAAAATTCATTAAGAGATGTAAGGGAAGTGTGCAGAAACATTATTCGTTTGTAGCCAAAGAGCCATCGATCATAATCTTATCATTGATTGGAACAATAAGAAACGTGGATGAAGAATTGGGGCCATTACATGCATGCAAGGGTCGAGGTGGATTAGCATCGTCATTGAGGTGGATCACAAAGTGTGTCGTAGGGTCCAAAGTATTTGGGGTTTTACGTGAAAGAAGGGTAGGTGGAGGAAGGCGCTTGAAAGGAGATGGTCTTAAGGGTAACTGCTCTAACAGGTTTGAGAGATAAAACTTAGAGACTTATATCGTGGCGTTAACAGCCACAGGTTTGAATTTGTAGTGTTGGAATTAAGCTTGTTGACATGATTAACGATTGGTGGTTTACGTAAGACAAGGTGGGATTTGCCTTTGGACTTTGGATTTACAGCATGTGATTTGGGCGGGAACTATTTTCTCTGATAGTCAAGGATTGGTTGTGATGAACAACGTGATTTGCTGGCTTAATGGGATTTGAAGGAATCTGGTTTGGGTCTTGATTGGCAGCACGATTGGAGTTAACATCGGGGAACAACGTGATTTCCGGAGCTAGGTTCAAAGCAAGGATCAGATGGTATCTCGCAATCCTCTACGAAAATGGGATTGAATTTAGAGGTTGACGTGGTAACTTCCTTGATTGGTGCTGAGTGGGACGTGGTTTGCCGTGGTTTCCCTTTCTTTACAATCAACAATCATCCATGGACCAAAGGGTTCATCGGGGATAGGTTTTGGCGGCTGCGGTGGAGCGGTTGTTGGAGGGGCCTTAGCTGAAGAAGTGTTGTCAACTAGAATAGGAAAAGACAGACAAATTTCCTTCGAATATATATAGGTGCCACAATGGAAGCAGACTATGGTTAGGTTCTCATATTCAATTAATTGAACAGCTCCATTGATGATCACTTTGGAGAGGAGGGCTTCCTAAGATTAATGTTCACTGACATGCGGCCAAATTTTCCTCAACAACTATTATCCGTCTGATAGTCGATCTTTATGGCCGATTCGATCCTGCTTCCAATTGCTTCAATCAAGCTTCTTTTGTAGAAAACGACAGGAAGAAGAGGTAAATTTAAAAGTTCACTCTAAAAAATATTTTGAACCGTCACTTATTCATAACAATATTTTCTTACCAACTGGGCAACTGCTTAGTTTATGTAATTGATAATGTCCATACAAGCACAACATGATTGTGTACGTAGTTGTTAAATTTAAAAGTTTATTCTTCATCGGATCAAAATCCTTGCCTCAACTTCGTATTCTCAACAATGGAGTCGTGCTTTAGATCTGTCTCAAAACCAACCTTCTTTATCCTCAGCAAGCCAACCCTTAAACCCAATCCCCCCTCTCCTCTCCTCTCACTTCGCCTTCCGTCTCCCACATTTTCAAGGCCGACCCTTCAAATGTGTATGTGATAAGAGTAGAAATGAATTTTTCATGTGGAAATGATTGATATTTCTTCTTTTGTTACTCTAATTTGAACATTTTGTTATGTTCAGCCACATTATTATGATTGGACATGCTGAGTCCAGCTATAATTACTTAATTGCTTTATGCATAATCAATTTAAATTGCTATTATGTTTATCTTGATTGTGGATATAACGAGTGTTATTGCGATCAGTGATGGACTTAGGTGGGTGGTGGCTGTTTGCCCCTTAAAATTTTAAATTTATTACATATTTTAGATTTTATCTATGTATTTTTTATTAAAAATTTGTTTTCTCCTCCTTAAATTTTATAAGTTCAAGTTCGCCCCTAATATAAAATCTTGCATCCGTCCCTGATTACAGTCATTATGATAACAGTTTCAGACGACACCAAAACTGTTATATGACTGTCGTTAGTCCGATAGTAGACGCCTATTTAGATCCTTGTTCTGCATACATTGTTCCCTACTAGAATGTACGGATACCATGTATACATAATATGCCCGAAGCTCTCTCTTTTGATTAATGTTCAGCTTCTGTAGCATTTGGTCTTTCTTTTCCTTTCAACAGGATTTAAAGCTTCTATGTAAATGGATAGCCATGTTTGGTTATGGAGAATAATTTGATGTTTAGTAGTTTAGTTGTTGGGTAATGTAAGGCCATTAGAATTGTTCAAATTTGTTTGTTTTCCACCGTTTAGTGATATCTATACTTTCATGAAATGCAAAGATTATACTTTTTGGGTTTTTATTTAAAATTTTAAGATAAAGTTTATTTCACTGAAAATAATTTCCAAAAAAAAATGTAACCAACCAGACATAATTCAAGTACAAGCCACATAATCAACTCACTGCTGTAACATTCTCTGTAATATTGTAATTGAAAGCTGCATCAAATGATCACATAAAGCTCCATTTTGCTTGTAAAATTTCGTGCATTAATTATTAAGAGTGAGAGATTTTGGATTTGACTTAAAAAATTCAAATTTTTAACTTGGTTTAAGTAAAAAAAAAACTGATTTTTTTTACTTGACCTGATGCTAAAAAACTGGCTTGACTCGTAAAAATTTTAAATTTGAGTTGAGTTATAAAATATAACTCGAATAACTCAAAATTTTTAGTAATTAGTGGGTATTTTCAAGTTTTGATCGAGTCACTCAACTCTGTAAATGTATATCCCATATGATTATAGAACATCGTTCAAATTAGAATCAAATAATACCATAATATTACGAATATTTTAAATTTAAACGTAAACTTAAATAACTCAACTCAACTCAAAAAAAATTAAATGAAATTTAAATTATAAAGTAATACTTGTCATCTTGAATAATCTCGATGGAATGCTCAACCTCCTATTGATTACTTAAAAAAAATCAACTTTGGCATTCAGGATTTATTTATTTAAAAATGTTTTGATCTTACAATCCTTAGCTTAGCTACAAATATCGAAAAAGCTTTGCATTTACATTCTGTGGGTGGACCTGACAACTATGCTTCTTTTAAGGCAATTAAGAAAAAACTCCATGTGAAATTGTGGAAATTCATCATGCATCAAACTGACGGTTAAAATATCAATTGGAACTTAAATAAAAAAAAAGGTTTATACCAATATAAATATTTCAACATTTCAAATAAAACTAATCCAAGTTGATCAAATGTCAAAGCAAAGTTCAATGGTAATGAAAACAAAATTTTTTGTAATTTACCATAATCAATAAAGAAAATTGGGTCTCAGAGGAGAAATAACAACAGCTACATTCAATAGTCTAACCAAAAAGGGAAAGGAAAATATAAAGTTGAATTCAGTGCCTGAATTAAGTGTGGGGAAAAATTAGGAGCTCTCATTAAAGTTTCCCTACTCTACCATCCGGTACTAGATGAGTTGCCTGAAATCATGACCCCTGGTTGGTGGATCAAATAATCATCACCGTTGGATCCATCAAAAACCATGTTTTGATGATGATGGTGCATGAATTGATGTTGGGCTCTTACCATCTCTTTCTGTCGCCTAAGCTCAAGGACCTTACGGTGAGAATTTGAATGCCTGGTGAGCACAAATGTCGGGCTGGCAGCGGGTCGATACTCGGGCACGAGTCGCCCCGATTTATACCTCACACCACAAGCGTTGCATAGTGTTTTCGGACCCATGGGTCCAGTCCGCCACTGCGGCGTCTTAACCGTAGCACAATGCAGGCACTTCCGCCCGTCCGAACTCGCTTCGCCTCCGTCCTTCTTCGACGATGTCGTTTTCACGGGTTTTTTACCGGGATAGTTATGTTGAGGTGGTTGCACCGGGACGACGATATCAGGTTCAGAAGACGAAGTAGTCGAGCTGAGGAGGAGGAGGCGGGACGCCCAATTGCATGGCACTGCACGGGAGCGTTTGCTTCTTGCCTTGGCGGGAACCGTCATGTCCGGACGGAAAACCAGACTGTTGTCACCGCTATCGATGACGTTATCAATTTGGTTGCGAAGTTCGGGTTCGAAGCCACGTGTATCCGATGATACGGCGGGTCGGGTTTTCATGCCGGATATCAACTGGAGCTTCTGCAGGTCCTCACTTGAAAACGATTCCTCCGCGAAATTCGACAGCCATTCCAGCTCAGCTAAATCGTCGTACTGTTCAACAAAGATTAAAACAACCATTACCACCAATTTGGAGTTTGAAGTACTTCGATAAAGAATCTCCATCATTTGTTTGGTTGGCGAGAAAATTACGAAACAACAACAAAAATTTTAAATTACCGGCACACAGAGGTCACCATCGAACTGATCATCAGTGAAACTACGGCCACCAATATCACCGGCGAAATTCGGTTCCAGACCAGAAAGCGAGGACGAATTGCAGCTGTCGACGGCGGTAACGGAGGAGGAACCGGTGGAATGAAAGGCGTCAGGTGTAACAACATCCTCGTTGGAAAAATCGAGAAGGTCTTCGATGATGAAATGGTCGGGCGCTTCCATAGTTCTAATGAATCAGTTATGGGGGAATAGAAATGTGGTTTTGAGAAGAGAGGAGAGGTTTTATTTGCGTTTCAAGCGGACAGGCCGACACCTAAGAAGGAGGATTTTGACTGTGCTGTTAATTTTAGGATTGCACACAATCATTGCTTCTAAATGGAGTTACTGACAAAAGCGTTTAATAATTAACAATTATTTACTGCAGATGAATTAGTTAAAAGAAAGTAAATGACCAATGATTAGGGGATAAGATATAAAAACTAATATTAGTAGATATTATAGTGTTCAAATTCAAGCAGTAGCAGGTTTGTTGCTGAGGCCTATGGATTTAGCGTCCGATTCCTTTTGCTTTAATTTTTTAATCTCGCTATTCAAAATAATTATATAGTTTTTAACCTCAGGATCTGCGCTTTTATATTTAATTGCATGATTTTTAAAAGAAAAAAGAAAAGAAATTCGCTATTTTTCTAGGATAAAGTATAATAATGGTCACTGAATATTTTTGAAGCTTGCATTTAGGTCCCTCAACTTTTAAAACTTACAATATAATCCCCCAACATTTAATCTATTTGCAATATGGTCCCCGCACATGTGAAAATTAGGGTAAATTATATAAATAGTCACTGAACTTTTCAGGTACTTGAATTTAGGTCCCCTAACTTTTAAAACTTACAAAATATTCCTCAATTTCATTCTAAATCCCAAATTCCAAAGTAATTCAATTTCATTCTAAACCCTAAATTCCAAAAGATAAAATAACCCCAGTGACCGAAAATGCCTTATAATATACAATTTTAACCAACTTTTTTTGGATTTGCCAAAATGACCAATAAAATCGTAACGCGAACTCTAATTTTTAAACTCAGTTTCCAAATTTGCAACGCGAATATCCAGATTCGCAACGCGATTGTAAGATTCGCAACGCGATTTGGAAAAATGTGTTGCGATAGTTAAAATGTGTTGCGATAGTGAAAAATCCAAAATAAGTTTACATTTTAGCTATTCCAAATTCACGTGGAGTTTGAAACAATAAAGAATGTGTTGCGATAGTGTAAAATATTCCCAAGTGTTTGCAATGCTCAATCCCACATAGTATTGGAAACACTATTGGGAATGGGTATCTAAGGCTTGGATTTCCCACTTCCTTGTTGAGTATAAGAGAACAAGGGGGACTCTCGCGCACCGCTGCCGCCGCCGTCTCGTCTCGTGGTCGAGGTCGTGGTCGTGGTAATACGTGTCTTCGACACGTCCGCGCGGATACTATCTTTTTAGAGAAAATTCTTAAGAAATCGCAACGTGAACTTGGACTATCGCAACGAATTTAGACTAACGTAAATTTGGAAAATCGCATTGCGATAGTTAGAATCGCGTTGCGATTTTGTATTATCGTGTTGCGATAGTCAGAATCGCGTTGCGATTATGTATTATCGTGTTGCGATAGTCAGAATCGTGTTGCGATTTACATATTCGCATTGCGATTTTCTAAAATCGCAATGCGATAGTCAAAATCGCGTTGCGAATCTGGAAACTGATTTGCGATACTCGAGATTGCGTTGCGATAGTCAGAATCGCGTTGCGATTTACATATTCTCATTGCGATTTTCTAAAATCGCAACGCGCATTTGGAAAATCGTAATGCGATAGTCAAAATCGCGTTGCGAATCTGGAAACTGATTTGCGATACTGGAGATCGCGATGCGATTTAGAGATCGTGTTGCGATTTAGAGATCGCATTGCGATTTTGTTGGTCATTTTGGCAAATCGAAAAAAAGTTGGTCAAAATCGTATATTATAAGGCATTTTCGGTCACTGAGGTTATTTTCTCATTCCAAAATAATTCAATTACATTCTAAAACCCAAATTCTAAAACATTTCAATTTAAGGAGGAATATACTAGATTATCTTTAAGAACGTGATAACGTTTTGATTTTTTTACTTATGTGAAGAAAAAAAATACACCCCCTCCTCGTAAATGTAAATTTAGTGACCTTTAATAATTTAAATATACAAAATGATTATGGAAGAAATTGAATAAAAAACACAATCTCTCAATGAAAAAATTAAGAATCAAAATCCCCAATTGACATCCTTATAATTTTTATTTATTTCAATTATAATTTAGTTTTTTAATAATTTGATGTGATTATAAGATATTATTTATTCAATTTTTTTAATTTATTAATAATATAGATATACCCTACAAACACAATTGTTTGAATTTAAAACTTTTAAAGAAAATAACATTTTTTTACCTATGAAATCACTTAACGAGTTATAATATAATTTTGTTAAGTGTATTAGAAAATTAAAAAATAGATCATGCTAGAACTAAAAGAATATGTGACCATGAAATAGAAAGTTTACGTACGTTACAAAAACATGGCACAAACCCCATCTCTTATGAGTTGATTGTTATCGTTAACTTAGGGTATATTATATTAAATTATTAATTTTTTTATTTTATTTTTGAAGTAGTCAACTTCAGTGTTTATTTTTTTATTTTGTTTTTTATGGTTTTATTAAATAATTTTTCTACAAAAAATATTCGATGTAATAAGTAAATAAATATTTAATTATCATGGTAATATTTATATTTTAATTATAATAGAAACAATATAAAAATAAAATATATTTATACATCATTACTATAATTAACATAACTCATATATAAAATTTTGACTCTGCTATTTATGTAGTCTTAATATTTATATGAAAGATATAAAATATATTAACACGTATGATTAGATATAAAAACATACACAAATAATCAGAAATATATTTATTTTTAAATAAATGAATTATTATCATATATTCTTACTATTGAAAAATTTTCATGTCTTTAAATTAATATTAAAAAATTATCATATGTTTTTAAATATAAAAAGTAAATTAATTAATAATTTAGTGACATTGGCGTCGTTTATAAAAAAAGACAGAAATTGAAGTATTTTAGAATTTGGGTTTTAGAATGTAATTGAATTATTTTGGAATTTAGAGTTTAGAATGAAATTGAATTACTTTGGAATTTGTGGTTTAGAATGAAATTGAGGATTGTTTTGCAAGTTTTAAAAGTTGAGGAACTTAAATTCAAGTACCTAAAAAGTTTAGTGACCATTTATATAATTTATCCTAATTTTCATAGGTGCATGACCATATTGCAAACGGATTAAATGTTGAGAAACTGTATTGCAAGTTTTAAAAGTTTAGAGACCTAAATGCAAGCTTCAAAAATATTCAATGACCATTACTATACTTTACCCATTTTTCTAAACGAAAAATGTACCTACTTATAAAGTACGATCAGTACAGCTCAACTTGATGAATTGGACGGCCAGGATTTATCCAACTTTGTCCCCATCTTTTTGACCTTCGTATAAATGAGTTGAAAGTTCAAGTACTATTAAACTCGATTCGATTTGAAAGTTCTTAAATTTAACTCGATTAAAACTCGAACTCAAGCTCAGTTTGGTGGTGACTTCATCCTATCTAAGCCCGATATACCTTTTTTAGATAAAATTCAAAGCTGATACGAACTAAAATAAATATATTTATAAAGATATATTATTTTTATTCAATAAACATAGGGATGTAATTTTAAAAAAAAAAATATAGAGGGTTATTATTGCAATTATTCATAAATATATAAGTTAAATTTACATTATTTTTCAATTTGAGTCGGGTCGTATATTTTTCACCCAAAACTATAATTCAACCTGATCCGAATATATTTTCTAAAAACTCGACCTGCCCCGACCCGAACTCGATATTTTTTTTTTAAATATAACCCTATTCAATCGGGTCGGGTTCAGGAGCTTGAGTTCAAATTTAAACTTAAATTACATAAAAAATCTTATATTATATATTTTAAAAAATAACAATATTAAAATTATTAATAATTTCTTTTTTAAAAAATAAAAAATTTAATATATTATTTTCCGAGTTGCTAGCGAGTTTTTTTTAGTCAGGTATCAAGTATCTCTTTCGACTCATTAAGAACTCGAGACGAATTCAAGCTCAAATTGAATTCATTCAATTTGACTATTGACTACACTTCAACCGAATTAAACTCAAATAACTCACAATCTATCTTCTAATACCAACCAAACCTTCTAAGGTAAACAATTATAGAAATATAATTTAATTAATGTATAAGTATACCTCTTTTCATATAATATAGTTTTTCTCATACTAATATGTTTGGATCTTATGTTAATCAAAAATATTTTTGATTAATCAATCTTTGAGAGTATAATTTCGATAACAATTAATCAAGAAAATGCTGCCGTTTTGGTAATTGTAATCCATTTTATGATGATTTTGAATTTAATAATAGAGAAAATAATCTCAGTGACCGAAAATGCCTTATAATATACGATTTTAACCAACTTTTTTTCGATTTGCCAAAATAACCAACAAAATCGCAACGCGAACTCTAATTTTATAACTCAGTTTCCAAATTCGCAACGCGAATATCCAAATTCGCAACGCGATTGTAAGATTCGCAACGCGATTTTGAAAAATATGTTGCGATAGTTAAAATGTGTTGCGAGAGTTTGAAAAACGTGTTGTTGTGATAGTGAAAAAGTGTTGCGATAGTGAAAAATCCAAAATAAGTTTACATTTTAACTATTCCAAATTCACGTGGAGTTTTGAAACAATAAAGAATGTGTTGCGATAGTGTAAAATATTCCCAAGTGTTTGCAATGCTCAATCCCACATAGTATTGGAAATACTATTGGGAATGGGTATTTAAGGCTTGGATTTCCCACTTCCTTGTTGAGTAAAAGAGAACAAGGGGGACTCTCGCGCACCGCCGCCATCCTGTACCGTCCCGTCTCGTGGTCGTGGTAATACGTGCCTTCAACACGTCCGCGCGGATACTATCTTTTTAGAGAAAATTCTTAAGAAATCGCAACGTGAACTTGGACTTTCGCAACGAACTTGGACTAACGTAAATTACTTGTCAGAATTGCGTTGCGATTTTGTATTATCGCGTTGCGATAGTCAGAATCGCGTTGCGATCTACATATTCGCA